CATCCTGCTGACGGGAACCGTAGCCAGCAGCTTGGCGGTGGGAGGCGATGAAGATCTGGAGCTCGGAACACGTGTTCGGGTGAGGTCGGGCTGAGGGACCGGGTGGGTCCCGACCAGCGCCCCTTTCTACCGTGGAGCGTCTGGGGGTGGCCCGGGAAGGCGGGACCCTAAAGTGGGGCTTCGCGGAACCCACAGGCTCCGCGCCGCCTGCTTCCATACCGCGGCCTCGGCACGGTGTAGGAGCTGGCATTGTGCCCCTCCTGGGGGGTTGCTGGGTGAGAGCCCGGGGGCTGGCGGTGCGGTCTCCCGGAGGCGCCGCGGGGGTGGAATCACCGACGCGGGGGCGGGGTCGCCTTTTTTTCCCGCGGCTCGCGGAGCGCTGGGCTTTGGGGTGGCTCGCAGTCCAGTAGGGCCGGGCGGCAGGGCCGGGGAGCTCTCCCCGCAACAGGACCCCTGCCGCGTGTGCGTGAGGATCCGCGTGTCGCTGCGAGGAGAGGACCCGCAAGGCGACGGTCTAACTCATCAGTTCTCCTCGGACAGGCCTCGTCTCGCCTGCATCGCTTTCGGATTAGGGGACGTAGTGGGGCTGGGAAAGCAGTGGCCGGGAGATCAGATCTGTTTTTTGCGGAGATTATGAGGGGCAGCTGATGAGAAACGCTGAGCGTGTTTTGTGAATGAAGGATCCGCCTGGGGGGCGGGGGAGAGGGCAGATGTTGAGCAGATTTGTGCTGGGCTTTGGCCCTAATCCCTTGTGGTCTCCAAGGGCACCAAGCCAGTAAGAAAACAGCCATCTGCATAAAAGTGCCCACCTAGTCCAAGTGGTATCTACCTCTTAGTCACTAACCGGTGATTTTCCGAAATCACGCTTTAATGTCTTTTAAAGGAACAGAAATTAAAAAAAAAAATCCCTTTATCACACAATCGTGTGTGGGGGAAGTGGCGGGGGTGGGTTGGGGTGGTATTTATGGGACGAAATGGAATTGTTATTCTTTGACTTTTTAATGTAAAATTATAATAAAAATTTATCAAGTGTTTTAAAACCTCTGAAGTTATTTTTTATGAAATCTTTACATGATGGGATCGAATTTTTTGGTTGATTTTGCACAGCCTGCTGCCTTTCTCAAGTAGGGTTTCCTGAGACATCCAGCCAAAGCTCTATTGAGATTACCCACAGGGTTTTTCTCACTTCTCCCAAGGATTGGGAGTAACTGGTATCTAGATGCAGAAGGGAGAAGTGGGGTTTAGTTTTCTAATGGAACCCATGAAAAGAACTGCTACAAATGGCCCTGAAATGTTGGCAAGCAGAAGTGAACTACTGAATTGTCAACTGTGTATACATGTTGTTGCTACTTTTGAAAAATTTAGTTGCTGCCAACTGGCATTTTCTTAAATTTTTAGTGAAGCATAATTTACATACCATGTAATTATATATAATAACATTCCATACTTCAAAAAAGCATAAAAGTCAACATTAATTTACAGATTTGGGCAACCATTGTCACGTATCATTTTTAGAACATTTCTATCATCTTCCAAAAAGCCCTCTCAAACCCATTTGCAGTCACTCACCATTTCCAGCCTCAGTCAGCCACCTTCTGTTTCTATTCACATTTGTCTTTTTTAGATATTTCATAAAATCATACAATATGTGGCCTTTTGTGTATGGTTTCTTTCACTTGGCATAATTTTTTTGAGGTTCATGTGTATGGCAGCTGTATCAGTACTGTCATTCCTTATCTCTCTCATTTTGTGTCCTGGCTCCCTGCTAGAGCATGAGACATAGCCGCTCAGTGAAGGGCTGAGAATTTCACCAATACCAGAAGCTCTCCTACAGTAAGGGCAGCTAACACCCAAAAGAAATTCCAGTTAACCCCATGCTGATGTAGACTATGCGCTTGAGGCCCTGCCATTGATTTTCCAAGTTAAAAGCAAAGGACCATGACGAAAATTGACAAATGTGTCAAGCAGCTGGTGCAGGATGGTGTCTGTTAGGTCCCTGGTGGCTGGAAAGGTTACAAATGATGTAATCCTTTGTGGCAGCATAGTACCTATGGGACAATACAAAACTGGAAGTTTCTCCTAGTTTAGACCATTGAAATCCTTGAATTCTTTCCCCAGGAATTATTGGCTTTTCTTTTTGTATGTTTATTGTACCATCAAATGAATTTTTATTGGAAATTAATAAATTTACTTTTGAAATAGCAAGACACTCAATTTTGGGGTCATATTATGTTCTTCCCATGTTTCCATCTCCAGGAAACCCAATGGGACTGGAGAGGAAGTACTTCTACAGAAATGAGAGCCCATGGGGAAAGTAATCTGAGTTATGTAGACAGGGTTTTAAGAGTAATGAAAAAATAAAAAACTGAAATATAAAAATTTAAGTTAGCATGTGTATAAGTGTAGGTTTACAAAGTCATCCTTATAGCATTGACTCATGTTACAGGTAGGCCCATAATAACATCTTCAGTAACAGTCAACGTAAGTAGATTCAAGTCATGCTCTCCCTGGATTCCAGTAGTTATCAGGAAATGTCTCCAGTAGACAATGACCTTCTCAAGGAACTAAGGCTTTGGAGGAGATGATGACCTGAACTTGGCTTGCTTTCTAACCAAGAGCAGTGAGGAGATACCCTTCACCCCACCCACACCTTTTTGAGTAAATTGAGCATTACAGAGAAGAGTTGAAGTACCTACTATCCCCTTCTTTTTCTCTCCTCACAGAAAGACAGGATTATGAATTTGGTGGTATATTCTCAACATCTATGTTCCAGGGGTCCATTTGACTACTTTATGTATGTGTGTGTGTATCCGTAAATAATATGTAATATTGCTTGTTATTTTAAAATAGAAATCAGTGGCATCATCTTGTACAAATCTTGAGTTTACCTTTCTTTAACAGTTTGTTTTTGAGATTACATATATGTGTATACAGATGTACACATATATGTATAGAAATATATGTATCACACCTATATAATATTCCATTATATATGCAGTAATTTATCCTGTCTCTTATTGAGGGCCATTATTTCCCCTCTTGTTGCAAACCACACCATGTTATACCTTGAATCTTTTACACATGGATGAGTATATGACTCCTGCTCATCTGCAATATGTGGGTTCCCAGTTTACAGGATGGCTACAGGATGGTGCAGTGATCAGGCTCCTAGTAACAGACACAGATTTTCTGAAATTCCAGTTTTCACTTGAAAACTCAGATTTTATTTTGGCAACAAATATTATTGGTTATTTTCCTTGAATGGGAATTTTTGAAAAACTGCTAAATACCCATGTCTGTGTCACAGTGTGTCTTACGCTGGTTGTTGGTACTTTTGAAAGTACTTTTGAAAGCACTAGAAGCAGCAGCAGAAGAAGCGGCTACTGGTGTTCTTGGCCACCACGGATTCCCAGACAGCATAAGGATATCACCTGGACTACTGTTTCCCACCCCAGAGTTTTAAAAGAACAGTATTCAGGGTTCTAGATTCAATTAAGCTAATAAATTTACTGAGTCATCAGCTATTCCTGAGAGACTGGCATGGCTTTCTTGAGTGCTTAGGAGTGAGCTCCAGTGTGGTTTGGGCTCCAGCTTAATTCTGGTCTCTACTCTGGAGTCTTGGGGTGAATGTCAATAAAGGGGAAAGACGAATCATGTCTCAGAAGCATAGCTCTGGCCACTCAGTCCAGAAAGGGCCTGGGAGACCCCCACCCAGCCTTGGGGGGAACTTACTCAGAAGGTCTGGGCCTTGTGTCTCTGTGGGACTGTTACAAGGCATTTTACCTACTTGGTATCTGCCTTCATCTTTTCGTAAAACTTGTTCTTCCAGAAATTTCCAAAATTTGCAAGCAGAAGGCTAGATAATGATCACCCAGTGTAGCACCTCCCAGGTTGGCAATTACCTTTTCCCAGGCATTCTGGCTTCTTGTGTACCCACCCACTGCTCCTTCCCCCGTATTATTTTCTTTTATTTATATATTTTTACCTTGGTCATTTTTGCGTAAGTTTGATTTTTCCTTTCAGGTGTAATCCCCATAAAATTGCTACCATCAAGACACCTGTGAACTGTTACCATAGTTTCGTATGCTATTCCCTCTCCTGTTTTGATCCCTCTCCCGCCCCTTCCCCCTCCTGAATGTCTCCTATATATAGTTTGCCTTTTAAATTTTTCCTGATCCCTTGCTTGGTTCCCTTATACTCCTCCTATGAGTGAAGTCATCACTATTTTTCTTTTTCCTTCTGACTTATTTCACTGAGCATAATCCCAGCCCGTCCATGTTACTGCAAATGGCATACATTTATCTTTTTTGATCACTGACTACTATTCCATTGTGTGTACAGACCACATCTTCTTGATCCAGTCACCAGTTTTGGGGCATTTAAATTGTTTCTACATCTTTACAATTGTAAGTAGTGCTGCAATAAACATAGAAGTACAGGTTTCCTTTCGAATGAATTATTTTGTGACTTTTTGATATATCCCTAGGAATGGAATTACTGGTTCATATGGTAGCTCCATTTTTAGTAGACTGAGGGTCCTCCAGACAACTCTCCTTAGTGGTTCGACCATAGTAAAACTATCACTATTTGCAGATGATATAATATGCTCAGAGAACCCCTGTATTATTCTAGACAACACCCACACATCCTACATGTTCATCCCTCCGCATCTCCAGACACCCTGCTGTGCAGAGGGAGGGTAATGGCTGCTTTTTGCCTCTTTAATACACAATAAGGGACCTGGTGTGAGTGCTTCTGCCTTCTAGCTGCCAGGCCCAGACCTGGTGCTGTGTGCAGTCACCCTGATGTGAGGTCCCAAGGCCTCCATCTTGGGGATCAGTTCTCGAGGCTACTGAGAGCCATGGCCATACAATTCCTCCTGAGAATAAACTGCAACAAATTCCTTGTCTGCCTAATAGGCAGGTGAGGACCCTGATACCCTGCACTGTCTCAGCATCTCTAGGGTAAACGCTCTCTCAGGCCTTGTGTTAATTGTCAGCTGCTAACCTGTCTTCTTGCTCTTCCATATCTTTGCCAACACCTGATATCGCCAGATTTTCTGGGTTTTGTTACTTGAATGAGTATCAGGCTATTGTCTTTAACCAAGAAATATGTGATGTTGACTTACTGTACTTAAAAATTGTTATTTGTAAACATTACTATGTTTACACTTTTTCTTATCCTCGTATTTAAGAAAATATGTTCTGTTGATAATCTATCAGTGTGTATGGTCACCCTGTAATTAGTAGGATTTTTAAATTATGGGAGCATTTTAAGCAGAATACATTTCTATGTAAAAATAAATTGTGTAAAATGGATTTAGTATAAACATTTCTCAACTCTTAGATGATTTTAGATAATTTTGGGAAAGATAATCTGTGGCAACAGCTCATAGGTTATTTCACTGAGAAGCAACCCCTCGCCCAATTCCTAGGACTCTTTCAGTTCTCTGTTTCTCTAGTCTCTCCCCCTCCCCGCATTTTGGATCTACCACATCCCTCACAGTTCATCTGCAGGAAAGAAAGGCATCTCTGTAATCTTCGATGTGATCTGCATCAACTAAATCTCTGCTTTTATAATCTGTTTATGTTAAAATGGACATATTACCTTAGTGGTCATTCCATGGTTTGAAAAACATTTCTTTTTAAAGAGGGGATCCCATGCATACAAGCCAGAGGTGCAGGGGCCGTGAGAGGCTTCACAGAGACAGAGTGGGGAGCAGAAGAGGCAGATCAATGAAGTACACTGTTGAGGGGAGCAGCGGCAGGTCAAGAAAGGTCTGCTGCGCCATGTGGGTCAACTCTGGGGCCAGGGATTGAACTTGTGGCTACGGCCAGCTTGCAGTGCAGCTTCCATACCCCTTCTGCCACCAGGGAGGGCCTTGACATTTTTTAATCAGAATAAAGTAAATTAATGGTTAATAAATTATGTTTAAAAGGACATCAAATATAGGGTAAAGATCTTCAAGGTAGTCATAATCGTTGCTAGTTGATATAGTAATTCTGTTTCTAGAAGTTTATGCTAAAGGAAAATTAGACTGTACAAATGTTCATCGTCACCTTTATATTATGGTGCAAAATTGAAGCAATCTAAATAACCTCCCATGAGATTATTTATCTACAGAATGATCTGTTGTATAGTTATTAATGATCGTACTTCTGATAGTAGCCTCTGGTTAGGAAAATTGTCTGGGCTGGGTCTACATATACTATTCCAGCATATCTGGGTACATCTGGAAGAATCAGGGTGTTAGCAAAACCGACTGACTTCTGCAGGGGGTACAGATGCTTCCTGCAAGTGTACATCCTGAAAGAAGGAAGGAAGGATTAGGACATAAGTGGGGGGGAGTCTTGGGGGAAGGTTTGCCCTGAACACTGTTGGTCCTCCTGGCCTGGCTGTCACCAGCCTCCAGGAACACCTGTAGGATTTACCTGGGGGCAGCTCTGTCCCTATGTTGGGACCCCTCTGATGACAGTTAACAGAACAGTGCCAAACCATCCCTCCTCCAGGGTTCAGGGCCAGAGAAGTAGCGTGCACCCTGCCTCTGGCAGGAGAGCCTCAGGGGCTCACACATGGTTATCTTTGAATAGAGAAATTGGAGATGTGTTTAATTTTCTTCAATTTCTCAAAAATTTGATCAAGGCTTTTTATAATCAGAGAAATAGGTGGCTTTTCAAGTCATACACCACTTAGAAGTTGGAACAAAGTTGTTGCACCAGTAGTCAGAGTGCCTGTTCTAGAGCAGAACAAGGCAGGTTATTTCCTTCTGACTTTGTCCACTTGTCAGCAAGGACCTCATTGACTGCAGCATTGCAGGCAAAAGACAAAAACATGCAATAGTTCCTTCTACCCCCTTCCATCCCCAAGGAGCTGGTGGGAGAGTCTGGGGAATGGCAGTGGAGATAGGGAGAGCTGTTATCAATGCTGGGAAACCCCAAACAAAGTAGATCTGCCTCTTTAAGGCCTGGGGAGGGTTGGGAAGGAGGAGGAAGTGCTGAGAGAGGAAAAGTGCTGAGCTGGACAGAAGGAGGAGGGGAAGCCTCTGGGTGGAGGGCAGGCTGGGCAGGCAGAATCCTAGCACAGCTGCTAGCCCCAGCCCTGCCCCAGGTCTCCAAATCACCTTGAGGCCTCCACAAAAAGCCTCTGATGGCCTCTGTGAAGGATCCAGGATTTGGGCCTGGTACTTAAAAGCACCTTTAACTAAAACCTGGAAGAGGATTATGGGTGCCTTGGTGGTAGGTATGTATGGTAACACATATCTGCAGAGGTGTGCACCTCTGTCTTACCTCAGTTAAATCAATCAATTAAAATAAATAAAAAATAATAAAATAAAATAAAAAAATAACAGCATTAACATTTACTTTCACTTCACTCTGGTTGTCTCTGGCTAGTTGGCTGTACTTTATAAATCACGGGGATTGCCTGTTTATGTTGGGTGATTCATTTTGCCTGCAGCCACCCATGGGACACAGTCATCAAGGCTGCCATGAGGAAGTACCCAAATCCGATGAACCCCTGTGTGGTGGGAGTTGATGTGCTGGAGAGGAGTGTGGACGGTCGGGGCCGGCTTCACAGCCACCGGCTCCTCAGCACGGAATGGGGGCTGCCGGGCCTCGTGAGAGCGGTGAGCTGCTTACCTCGTAGCCTCCCACACGGCCCTGCTGGTCACCCCATGGCCCAGCCTACACCCACATCACCCAGTCTTTACCCAATGGCCTCATCTATAACCATCTCACCCCTAATATACCTGCATCATTGCCAGCTACACCTAAGAGCCGCCCCACCCCACCCCTCTCTAGTCACCCTGGCTGACACCCATCTGCTGGAAGTGACACCTTCCTTAGAGCAACCTCTCAGGTTTTCTGGGAAACTGAAGAGATGGTTTATTTCTATGTAAACCTCACTTAATGATCCATTTCATGGCTTTAATTGTATCCTGATTCATCTCCCCCCTTATCATACCCCAGTCTTCTAGTCACCCCACTGTTGTATCCTTTGCTCAGGCTGCTCTGAAATGATACCACAGACCAGGGGGTTTAAATGCAAACAGTTCTGACCTCACAGTTCTGGAGGCTGGAAGCTGAGACCCAAGTGGGCGGGGTGGTGTCCTCTGAGTGCCCCTGCTCCCGGGCTCTGAATGGCCTTCTGAGTGCTGACCTCTTCTTAGAAGGACAGCAGTCAGGTTGGCTAGGGCCACTCAGTGACCGCATTGTAACTTAGTTCCCTCTCGAAAGGTCCTTGTTCCCAGTGCCATCACACTCCAAGGTGCTGCTGGCAGTTAGGACTTCAACTGGAACTTGGGGTGCACATTCAGTCTGTGACAGGACTCTCTCACAGAGCTGCAGGGAGGCCACTGCCTATGTGAGTCAGTGTGGCTTATGCCTTCCTGAACACCCCTGACCTCAGTGAGGAGTCATCATGGCACAGGCCCCAACCGCCCACAGCTGCCCTCTCTTGCCCTTCCCCTCTACTCCTAGCTCCTGATATAGGACCTGGAGGGGGCTCTGCAGTTGGCCTTCTAATTGCAGACTCGGCATAGCACCCCACTACCCTCCTGACTTGGCTCAGGTGCCACCCACACACTTGCCCCTCACCTCATGGGTTTTTTTTTTGTCAAAGTATCTGTTGCTACCACACACCCAACTCTCTTGAGTTCATTTCTTTATTCTCCTTCTGATGTATCGGGAGCGCCCTGGAGAGCTGTGTGGGGCTCACCACTACCTTGTACCCCAAATTGTATCATTAGAGAAGTGAATTAGCTAGGAAAGGAAGTGGTTTGTGTTTGATACAAAATATAGTTTTTAACATGTTATGATGCCAGTTTTGCTTTTTTTTTTTTGTAGGTTTTGGGAACCAGTAGGACTTTGACATACATCAGAGAACATTCTGTTGTGGATCCAGTGGAAAAGAAAATGGAACTTTGTTCTACCAATGTAAGCAATGCCTAAGATGAGAAAGGCACTGGTATTTCACTGTGAGGGTGCATAATGCCTTCCAGACCACCCTTGGTCTAAGCAATCTTCAAGCTGCACTTATCTAGAGAATTTTTATTTGCCTTTTTAATCTAATATAATAAATGTATTGAAAACTGCATGACGGTTGAGTTGTTCAAAGTGACACACTTTTGTAGCCATTAAACAGATAGGAGAGAAGATGTAACTGTCCCTCTGGAGTCCTCCTGCTTACCAGGATAATCGCTGTCCTGACTTCTAGCAGGAGAGATGCATTTTAGTGGGAATTTAAAAAGCGACGCTCCTTCCTCTGTCGTGCCTCTCAATTAAAAAGTTTCTATTATTCTGCACATTCATAGAACACATGGGGGAACGCAGGAGCTAGTAGTATTGTTTATTTCTATAAGATCCCACTTTTTCTCAGCAAACCTAGAGTCAGTGCTGGGGGAAGCCCAGGACGAGAGCGGAGCCCAGGACGAGAGCGGAGCCCAGCTGTCTGCATCGAGTGTCTGAGCTTCTGCCTGCCTGGGTCCCAGCTTCAGTTCTTAACTCTAGTGGCATAGACAGTGATCAGGTACCTGCTATGTGCCAGGCATCATGCCAGGGGCGGGGAAGGCAAAGGCATGGAAGGTCTTAGGATCTCCTGGATAGACATTGAAGAAATCTGCTTGACAGAGGTGTGTAAACTGCCAGCACAGGAACCCTGCATTCCCGAGGAGAAGGGATGTCATCCGGGAGCTTTCCAGACACTAGCAGAGGCCAGTGCTCCCAATCACAGGCACCTGGAGCCTTAGAGAGTGTGGGTTCGTCAGAGGTCTCCCAATGGATGGGGAGTAGAGACTACCAGGAAAGAGGAGGGGTCAACAAGGACCAGGTCATAGAAGGTGTGTGTGTCACACCAAGGACGTTACATTTTTTCTTGTGGTGAGGGAGCCATTGAGAGTTTGGTGCACTCAAGTGAGGTCATCAGATTGTGTTCTTAGGATCAGCCTGGTGGCTTTGGGTAGGAACAGCTGGGGGCCGCTGGAGCTTTGGCGGGAGACTGGCCAGGTAGGCCATCCAATGGGTGTCAGGAAGGCAAACTGGGGCCGGAAGGCGAACACAGAATAGGGGCTGGGAGTGTGCAACTTGGGATACTGATTTGGGGGGGGAGGGAGAAGGGAAGGGATCCAGATGTGGCTTGTCTCGCTGGTGTGGAACTCAGCTTGGTCTGGGCACCAGGCTGAATGTGAAACCATTTATGGGGGCGCTGAGGTTGGGGCCTAGATCTGAGAAGAGTGAGTTATGTTTGATTTGGGGAGCCTAAGTACAAAGGTTGGTTGTGCAGTATGTGGTGGAGGTCAGGAGTCTTTGCATCTTCTTTTAGCATCTTATCTGGAAGCCAGTGTTTTGTTTTATTATTTTTTTTAAAGATTTATTTATTCATACAAAAGTGGAGTACAGGCCAGAGGTGGTGAGAGGATTCACCAGAGACAGAGTGGGGAGCAGAACAGGGAGAATGACGAAGTACACTGCTGAGGGGAGCAGCAAGTGAGGCAGGAGAGGTCTACTGCACCAGGTGGGTCACCTCCTGGGATGGGGATTGAACTTGCACTGAAGCGGCTGTGGCTTACATGCAGTGCTGTGCTTTAACCCACTGTGCCACCAGGTAGGGCCCCGGAAGCCAGTGTTTTAAACAAACAAACAAAAAGGACAGAGTTGCTCTGGGTAAAACAAGACAGGGTGATGAGACCCTTTCAAACCTGAAGGAGCGGGTAGAAAAGGCCAGCCAGCCTGGAGTATGGCTTCTGCTCTGGTCTCAGTGCTGTGGCCTGTCTTTGTGGACACTGTCCCGAGTGCAGGGAGGTAGGGTCTACTCCAGGTCTTGGTCCATGCCCTGAGGAGGCTGCCAGCCGTGCCCTTCCTCAGCCTAGGCAGAGCTCTGCATAAAGTCAGGGAACCTGGCAGGGTCCTCTTCCCCTCTCCCCACATCTGCCATTCCTGACAATATGTGTTTGGTTATTTTTCGGGAAAATTCCACTTCATTCTTCAAGAAGGTTTTGTTGTTAGTAAAGACAGACAGTGGCTACTAAGAGAGGTCTAGTGGTAAAGAGCAGGGCTAGAGCATGCTAGAGCATGGCAGTGGTGGACTTGAATCATCACTGAGTGACTGAATGACTTTGTGACTCTTTGCGTGTTAGACATTAACCTTTTCTGAGTCTCATATTTGTTGTCTCAAAAAAGAGAAGGAACAAACCTCATAGTATTGTTACAAGTATTAATGAAGGGAAATAGGGGTTATAAAGCACAGCACTCGGCATGAGAACATTATATGTAAAATAATAATTAATCAGAGTTTAATTGTTAATGTTGTTCAATAATGTGTAATGACTAATGAAATTCTTGATAACTAACTCTGAGATCAATAGAAGGAAAGAAATTTTCATTAAATACTTTTCCAGCACAATGAGGTAGGTGGGTGGGGGAAAAGGATTTCAGTGATAGGTGAATAAAGGGTAAGTGTTTGAGCTTATTATTGCCAGAAAGTTACATTGCTTTAGTTTAAACTCTTGAAAAAAGTGATCTTTTATTGACATATTGACATTGGCTCTTTGATAAGAGGGCAAATTAAACAAAGATGGAATTGTAGTTGTCTGTTTTCCAGTTTGGGGGCCACCAGATACATGTGGTTATTTCAGTTTTAATTAATTAGGATAAAATAAAATAAAGGATTAGGTTTTTCATTCACACTAGCCACATCTCGAGTGCTCATTGGCCTCAGGCATCAGGGCCATTTATCACAGGAAGTTTGGTTGCTCCATGAAAATTCCAGAGCTCCAGCTTTTAAATAATAATAGTGGAAATTATTAAATATATATATAGGGGTTGAGTTGGCTTACAAGAAACAGCCGTTGCAGAGACAAGGTCTAGACAACCCACTGTCATGAGCTGCAGATGCAGGGGGTCTGTCCTGGGTACCCTGCCATTGACTGAAAGCCCGGCACAGAGAAGCTTCCTGGACCTTATCCAGGAGTATTTTGTCTTTTCTGCAACAGCTGGCAGCTTGGTAGCTTGAAAGTAACTTGAAGGCCAGGCCTTGCTCCGATGGATGGGTATGAGAGAGGCAAATTGCGAGCACCTGATGGTTTTCCTGGCACTTCATACGTGGCAGGGCCTCTTGGGCCTAACAGTTTTTTCTGTTCGGCTCCTGTACATGCTGAATTGAGGGTAAAAGAATAGGGACAGATGATCAGAAAATCGAGAGAAATAGAACCTAAAGTCTTTGTTTTTCTTAAAGATCACACTCACAAACTTGGTGTCTGTGAACGAGAGGTTGGTGTACACTCCCCACCCAGAGAACCCTCAAATGTAAGTCATATCCTGGGGGCTGACATATTAAACTCTAAGGTCAGGGCTGGGGTGAGCCTCCCTACTTTCAGGGCTGCTCAACCTCTTTATTGTTTGCCTTTCTGTAGGACCGTGCTTGTGCAAGAAGCCATCATCACCGTCAAAGGGATGAGCCTCGGCAGCTATCTAGAAAGTTTAATGGCCAGCACAATATCATCAAATGCCAAAAAGGTACGGATGTCAGCGCCAGGCCTGTGTGCTCCAGCTGTTGAGTGCCAGCTTTAACACTCTCTGGAGTGTCAGGACCTAATTCAAAAAGCCAGCAAGGTACATTCAAAACGAGTGGCAGGGAAGGGACAACATAGAGGGTGAACATGAAGCATAAGCCCAGCTGAGGCAGCTACCACTTCAGAGTCGAAATAAGATAGGCTCAGTTAATAAAAAGCTCAATACATAATACCTCAAAATAGTAGCTGTGAACATCAGGCAAATGTTTGGGATTTTCAGGAGACTCATATTTAATAGGCATTAAGTAACAGGTATCAACTATGCATGTCCCCACTGCAGGATTTGGGAATGAGCTCTGTGGAGATGAGAGGAGGGAGGCTGCACCCGCAGGCCATCCTCCTGGGGTTGTTGGGTGTAGGACTCAGTCATCAAAGGCAGAGGCTGCCTTGGAGTCAGGGTGCTCTCCTCTCTGGCAGAGTTGATAGCAGAACATGGATATGTGCAAGGAAGATGTTATACAAGTTCAAGGTCAAAGCAGAGGGTCTTTTTTGTTGCTTCAGGTGATCTCACAGGCCCATCAAGAAGGAAGCGGTCCTTCCTTTGCAAGTCACCCTGGCTCTTCTCTTTACCCTTTGTCTCCTGATATTTATTTATTTTATTTATTTTTTTTTTTTGGCCAGAAGGGATTCTGCATTTTGGGGATCAGTGGGGTGCTGCCTAAACTTCACCTTCCCCCCTGCCATGCTTATGTCGCAGCTTAGTGGAAAACTAATTATGGCTTGCACTTGGACTAGTCATTAGCGGAAGTCAGTCTACCCTACATTAGAAAAGCCACATTTAAGAAATACCGGTAGCCTAACATAGTTCAGGAAAGGTAGGGAGCATAGGGCAGCCTGGCAGCCCCTTAGCCCCCGGGGAGGGCGAAGAACCCTACTCATAGGAGGCAGGAAACGGCCTATGTGCCGAAGACACTTCAAACCTTTCACCAGAAAAGTCAAGATACATTTAGTGAGACCAAAAAACGTGCCTTAATTTCCCTGGGTTTCCAAGGGTTTCCGTGTGAAAGCCTGAAGGAGAGTCACTGCCTCCCCCAACTATAATTACATGTGACTGCAGCCTGGTCCGTGGCAAAGGTGCCTGCAACTGGGCAAAGGGCAGGGATGGAAAATGGAGACGGGTTGCTGGAGATGACAGATATGGAGATGGAGGTGGACAGGCAGGTCGTCCTGGGATTTGAGAGGCTGATGTTAGGGAGGACTCATTGAGGCGGCTGTGAGGGCCACTGCCACTCCCCGTCCTCCCTTAGCCCACCCCCCTCCCGCCATCCCAAATTCAGATGAGGGTGCTGACAGAGGGTACCCGTGTCTGTACAGCTCAGGCTGTGTGAGACTTGTAGGCACGTCTGCATGCGCTCTTATTTCCGAGCCTGAGAAGTAGCTGTTATGGTGAAAGGCGGCTCGTGAGTGGCTGCTACTGGCTCCTTCAAAGCTGCCACACTTGCCCCCCCCCCCCAACAACGTACATTGCAGGCTTGTAGTGTATTGTCTGCAGTGAGGGGGCAGAATTTCTTACTCCGTGTTGAAATCTTTCTTTGTTGCTGCAGGGGTGGGCTGCTATTGAGTGGATAATTGAAAATTCTGAAAGCGCCGTGAGCTAACGGGGCCACACCTGCACCTGTGCTAAGCGGCGGTAACTACGGTATTCTTTACCCCGAAGACAACTAGCATGTTCAGCCCTGCGGTACATGGTGGCAGCAGGCTGTTTGCGAGATGTGGGTGCATGTACACCTCCAGTCCTGTGCCGCCTCCTGTCTCTTTTAGGTGCCTCTTCTTCCCACTTCATCTCCTGTTTCATGGCAGGACCTGCTTTTACCGGAAGCTGGAACATGGGGCTGTCTGCTCTCTAAACAAGGCAGTTTAGCTTCTTCTGCAAGGTGTCAGCAATGCTTGGTTATTTTTCCTATAATCTATGCATCATTACTAAAGAGGTTTTTATGAAAGGATGATAAAATGGAAGGGTTTTTCCATCGTGAGTAAGATTTAGATATTTGCACGTGTTCTTAGCGAGTGCTCCACCCTAGCGCTGAGCTGCAGAGGGCAGAAGCTGTGTGTCCCCTCACCATGGCAGCTGTGTGCCCCTTCACCAGCACTGGCCCCTCGACTCCATTGACTGGTTTCTTTTTGTGGTAAAATTCCTTTTTAGCATCTCCTGAGCAGCACACTTTCTTAAATCAATAGTGACTGGACTGTCTGAAGCTAACCTTGCCACTGAATTGATTATCAGTGGTCATCTGCACACTTCACAGAGGGGTCATTCCCAACTTGCCTCATTTTGGAGGATCTTTATCTCCTGCCCTGAAATGCCTGGCCCTGTTGACTTTGCGCTCTATGCTGCTGCTGTGCGCTCTGCTTCCCATGTCTGTCAGGGCCTCATCAGGAAAGGAGAGCCATGTGGTTCAGTTTTCTTTAAGAACTTCTTGCTGATTTTGCTTACATTGCTATAACTTAAGTTTGCTAGAGATCTTTACCTTAGACCCAAAGTCATGCTGGGTCTGTTCTCCCCTGATTTTACCACTAAAGTGACAGCATGTAGAGGCAACCTGAGGTGGACCTCATGTGAGTGTGTGTGTGTGGCGGGGGGAGGCAGTGGGTGGGAGGGAGGGAGGTTGGCTCTCATGGTGTCACTTTGAGTTGTGAACTCTATCACAATCTCTTTCTTATAAAACAAGAGCTAAACTGCCTCAATCTTTAATCAGATGCCTCACACAAAAAACCAAAGAGGAAAGAAAGGAAGAAAGAAGTGAGTCCTGAATATGGTTCAGCGGCCCCCCTGGGAAAGGTGTGGAAGCTGCTGCCGCCTGATCCCAGCCCTGCTTGGGCCTCTTCGTCATGACCTCACAAACAGGCCAGGCGCCTAGGCCAGGCGCAGGCAGAATTCTCACTCACGCAGAGTGGCCCAGCGGAAGGAAGACCTCTAGCGGGAGGATGGGGCCACAAAGCCACCGCCTTGCTACCCTGGATGCTGAGCCAGGGTCCTGGGAGCCAGCCCCTTGCTACCTGCCACTCTGAGGCTGTTTGGCTGGACTGTTCTTGAGCCTTCCTCAGCTCTCCCCTTAACAGCAGTGGCCAGGCTTTCCTGCCAACTCTTGGATCTTACAAAGCAGCTTTTCTCTTTTCAGATGACTTCCCTCCTGTGCTCCTAACCACAGACTGCACTGCCAGACCTGGCCACACCTGTCACTTCAGATGCCATCACTGCACCACTTCCCCTTACCTGCATCACTGTCGTGCAGGTCTGCACCCCAGTGGGGACACTGGGATACCAGCACTGTGAGCTCTCTAGTAAGAGCCAGCAGTGACTTGGGGTATGAAAAGCCCAGCCCTTGGGGCAGGGGCCCTCATGAGATCCAGGGAGCCTGTGTCTCTCCCACAGTCAGATCTGTCCATAGTCTGCTGTGGCAGCCACTGCTAGGGAGTGTCGGCAGAGGTGTGGTGCATTTAGGTGCTCTTCTGTCCCATTAGTGTGAGGTACTTCCAACCAGGAGTTTTAATTTCCCCCCCAAAATTAAACAAAATCTCTTTAAGCATGTTTCAAGTGATTAAAACTTCAGAAATAGTCCCTCCATAAAGAATGGATAAGTTGTTCTCTAAGTTTTTTTGAACTTACGTTTTGCTTGATTATAGTACTTCCAATCCAAGATTAAATGAAATTCATTTACATTTTTCTCAGAATATTTTATGCACATATCTTAAGCTGAACTAGGATTAATGGCAGAAACACTGGCCCTTACCCTTTCTGCAACACATACGTCTACCTTTCTGAGGAAACTCTCAACTCTTTCTGGAAGTTTCTGGCATTTATTGTTAGATTTCTGAACAAGTAAGCACACTGCTATTTCTTGATTCAACATTTTTAAACACGAACTCGAACTTCCTGTTATAGTAGCTTATCATTTTATCTCTCTTCCATCTTCCTCCCTTCTTCACCCCCTAATATTGCATGTCCTTGAATAATGTCAGTTTATTCAGTGTTATTTTCTTATGATTTTGGTGAGGAAAAACCAATTGATTCCTTACCAGTGCACCTGTGTGGGAAGTTTGCATGTTCTGTCATATTTTTTTTTTAAAGATTTATTTATTTGTGCATACAGAACTGGGGTACAGGCCAGAAGCTCAGGGGCGGCGAGAGGCTTCACCAGAGACAGAGTGGGGAGCAGAACAGGCAAATCGACGAAGTACACTGCTGAGGGGAGCAGCGGGCGGGTCAGGAGAGGTCTGCCTCGCCATGTGGTCGCCTCCGGGGCAGGCGGGAGTCGAACTCATGCGGAAGCGGCTTTAGATTCTCAGTGCTGTGCTTTAACACGCTGCGCCACCAGGGAGGGCCTGTTCTGTCATATTTATGTGGATTTCCACTCCTTTTCTAGAGAGGCGCTCACTGGGACTGTTGGCTCATCTGCATAGCCCCAGGTTGAGTAAGCGTGAGCATACCCTGTTAGGGAGGGTGTGTGTCTAGGGCTGTGCCCACCTTTCACCTTAGGCTGCCCACATGGGCTCTGGTCATCCATGACCCTGACCTGAAATGAGTGGGTTAGAAAATGAGTGAATGAGTATAAATGAATGCTTAATATTACAAGTGTTTGGATCTTTATTTAGAAATTTGCTGATTTTTTTTGTGATCAGAAATATGTCCTAGGAACTTGACTCTTAGCAATATCAGTTAGTTCCTGGTAACACTGGTTTGTTACATGAGATCTTTTTTTTTTTTAAAGATTTATTTATTCATACAGAACTGGGGTACAGGCTAGAGGTGCAGGGGCAGTGAGAGGCTTCACCAGAGACAGAGTGGGGAGCAGCACAGGCAGACTGACAAAGTAGTCAGTCTGAGAGGAGCAGCAGGTGGGTCAGGAGAGGTCTGCTGCACCATGTGGGTCACCTCCGGGGCGGGGATCAAACTCATTTGAAGTGGCGTTAGCTTCTTAGTGCTGTGCTTTAGCCCACTGTGCCAACATGGAGGGCCCATATGAGATCTTTTACTCTCAGCTTTCACAACTTACCAAGAACACTGAGGACTATTCAGATATATCATAATTTATGTTTTAAAGCACATTGAGAGTGTCCATAATTTTGCAGATACATGACTTTTATTACCAAGCCCAACAGTATACCACAATTACATATTCTTTCAGATGTAACATTTTTCTCTTGACCATAAGAATTGTCTCACCTTTTTCATCTATGAAGTCTCCAACTGAGCCCTTATACATGTTATGCTCTCTGTCTATAGTACCTCGTACATCAGCATCCCCGGGTCAAATGATTCAGGTTGCATGCCCCTTGTCGGGGTCTCTGGCAACATGCTTCCTGGAAGCCAGCCTGGCTCCTGTCCAGTAACCTCGCCTCTGCTGGAGTTCTTGATTCCCTGCCTTGCATGTCCTTTCTCCCACTACAAAACAGGGAAGGACGTCTTGTAATAGCTTCAAATACTGGCACATCTGAAAACATCTCTGTTCTCCCGCTTCATCCATAGCTTTGCTGTATATATAATTCTCAACAAAAAAATACTTTTCACTTAGAATTTTGGTCATTCCTCCATTGTTTCCACTCTCAAATTTCTGTATGTGACTTTTTTCCCTCAGAAAGCTTTTAGGGTCTCTTTATCTCCAATGCTATGAAATTTCATAAAGTGATTTTTAAAATTTACTGTTAAATTATCAGTTTTAATATTGTGCTATAGTTATGTAAGATCCTTTTGAGGAAAAGTGGGTAAAAGGTTGAAAGGACATTACTGTATTTTTAGCTTCCTGTGAATCTATAATAATGTCAAAATTAAAAGTTAAAAGCTATAGATAAGTAGTGGCATTATGGAAAATGGTGGATAGAGGCACTTTAAGAATTGGTCCCTCAACTGAAACAGCTGTTAAATTGACAAATGACAACAGAATCAATTTCTTGTAGAATTTTGGATTCCAATCAAACACTTATGCCAACCAGGAGAGTTTTTTTAATGAATTTCAATGAGCCTACCCTGCAGATTTTGGACTTTACAGCGTTTATTTAAGTCACTTAAGCCAGTATCTTAAAATAATTCTGTATATGTGTGCACACGTACACATGTACATTCTGTTGATTGTGTCTCTGGAGAACCATTTGAAACTAATTGAGTATCAGTCAAAGAGACTTTTATGAAATGAAGATGTTGATTGTAATCAGTCAGGTAGCCATTAAGAAAAAACTTACCTAAAATAAGGAGAGAATAAAAATGATTCACTAGAAAAATCAAACACAAAAGAAACAAAAAGTTAGGAAAGTTATAGAAAACAAATTGCAAAAAAACATAAGAAGTTAGTGCTTATTTGTCAGTAATTACAGGAAATGGATTAAACACATCAATTAAAAGATGGAGGGTAGCAGAATGAGTGAAAAAAAAAATGGTGCTATAAGCTATATACAATGTCCATAAGAAACACATTATAATACAAAGACATAAATAAGTTGAACATGAAAGGATGGAAAAAATATTTCAAGTAAATAGTGATCAAAAGAAGTCAGGCATGGGTATAATTATATCAGAAAAAATGGGCTTTTAAGCCAGCATTGTTATGAGAAAAAGACATTATATGTTATAAGGGATCAACTAATCAAAAAGTAAAAAGCTGTAATCATTTATACACCAAAATTCAAAGCTCTAAAATATAGAAAGCAACACTAGCAGAATTAAAGAGAGAAATAAGCAATTCTATACTAATAGTGGAATTCAAGAATTCACTTTCAATAATGGTATAAATCCTTTTAATATGGCGCTAATACCTCATTAAGTAGAACTGAGGGAAAATCCCTCAATTCATCTCAACTGACACAGACATAATTTAGCACTTTTTTATGATTTAAAAATAACACTATTCTGAGAATAGAAATAGAAATTCTAGAAATATTTCGGGATTAGACATAGAATAGAAATTCTTTCATGTGATAAAGGGCATTTATGACAAACCCACAGCTAACATCCTACTCATTGGTGGGAGACTAAAATCTTTCCCTTTAGAAGCAAGAACAAGTGAAAGAGGCCAAATTTCATCACAGCTATGCAACACTGAAGGTTCTGGCCAGAGCAGTCAGATAAGAGATAGAAATATTATGCATTCATATTGAAAAGGAAGAAGTAAAAGTACCTCTATTTACAGATGACATGAGCCTGTATATCGAGAATCTCAAGAAAGCTATAAAAGGATTTGGCAAAATTACATAGTAAGCGATCATCACAAAAAAAATCTACATTACCCATGAGCACTCTGAATATGAAATCAAGGGAGAATCCAGCTTATAATTGCACCCAAATGAGCAGGTGAAGGATTTGTATGCTGAAAATTGCAACACATTATTGAAAAAATTAAAGAAGATTTAATAATAGGAAAACATCTATGTTCATGGGTTGTAATATAACCAAAGCAATCTACAAAATCAGTGTAGTCCCTATCATAATTCCTACAGTTTTGTGTCTTTTTTCAGAAATGAAAAAGCCAGTTCTCAGATTCATATGGAACCACAAGAGACCCAGAATAGACAAAATGATATTGAAAAATAATAAAATTGAAGGACTCGCTTCCCAATTTCAAAACTTCTTACAAAGCTACAGTAATCAGAACTAGCATAAGGATAAATATATAGGTCAATGGAATAAAACTGAGTGTTTAGAAATAAGTCTTTGTATCTCCTGCCAGTTGATACTCAACAGGAGACAAAAAAACAATGAAGAAAGTGTAGTTTCTACATCGAATGGTGTTGGGACAACTGAATATCTAAATAAAAGTTGGTTTATTGTCTCCTATGATATACAAAACTAATTCAATTTCATCAAAGACTTAAAAGTAAGAGTGAAAAATAGGAAACTCTTACAAAAAAATACAGGGGTAAATATGACCTTGTGTTTGGTAATGGATTCTAGAAGTGACAACAAAAGCAGGAGTAACAAAAGAAAATATGGGTAAATTGGACCTTGTCAAAACTATAAACTTTTGTGTGTCAAAGGACGCTATCAAGAAGGTGAAAAAGAGCCTACAGAATGGGAGAAAAAATTGCAAATCATATCTCTGACAAGGGTACCCATATGTCCAGAATATGTGAGGAACACTTTCCACAACAGAAAGTCAAGTGCATTGGGGGTTCAGCGGTACAATTCTTGCCTGCCATGCAGAAAGACAGACAACCCAGTTTTAAAGTGGGCAAAGTGTCTGAACAAACATTTCTCAAGATATGGAAATGATCAATGAGCACACAAAAAGACATTCAATGTCACTAGTCATTGGGGAAGTGTACATCAAACCCATGATAGTCACTCAGATTGTTATAATAACTGAATGGAAAATAGTAAGCATTGACAGAGATGCAGGAAAATGTCTTTTTTCCCCAAACATCTTTGGAACATGCTGGTGGGAAATTCAAATGATGAATCTATTCTACTGCTTGTGATATAGCTCTGTACTGAAAACAAATACTCAAATAGTTGTACATAAATGGTCATAGCAGTAATAGTTACAGTAGCCCAAAGGTGGAAACAGCTCAAATATCCTTCGAATAATGGATCACTAAACAAATATGGTGTATCCATACTATGATATATTATTCAGTCATAAAAGGACAGATCTACTGACATGAAATAATCTTTCTCTAAAACATTATGCCAAGTAAAAGAAGTCAGATAAAAATGACCATAGGCTGTATGACTTCATTTTGGGGTTTATAATAGGTAAATCCAAATAGAAAGCATATTGATTGGTGCCAGTCACTATGAGGTATTGTCAATCAGTAGAGGTAAATGGGGGAAAGTCTGCTTAATGGGTAAGGGAAGTTCTTTTGGGGGTGATGAAAATATTTTGGAATTAGCTAGAGATGGTGGTTGCCTAACTTTCATAAATGTACTAAATGCCATTGAATTGTATACTTTAAGATGGCTAACATGTAAATTTCGGCTCAGTCAAAAAAAGAAATATAAATATATACTTAGAAACAAATAGATACACTCACTCAAAAGTTGAGGTCAGGACAGCAAGACATTGCTTCCAAATTTATTATGTTAGGAAATTGGTGATTCCTTTGGCTCTGATAAAGATTTCTTTACTAATTTCCCCACCATTACTCTTTTGTTTTTTTCCCCTGGAAATCCAAATAGTCACATGTTAAGCTTCCTGGATTGGTTTTATAATTTTCTTATCTTTTCGCTCCTGTTTTTTTCTACCTTCAAGATATTTCCTGACTAATAATCTTCCAACCCTTTCACTAATTTTTATGTTGGCAAGTTGTATTTTTAATTTGTAAATCTTTGCTGTTCATTATAGTGTCCTGTTCTTGCTTCATGATACAGTGTCTCTTTCTCTGTGGAGATAAATATGAATGAAGTGTTCTTCTGTCTCACCTATGTCCCTGGGCATTGGAAAGTTTCCTCAGATGTCTGTTCTTGCCAAGACCAACACCAAGCCAGTGGGTGGGGTGGTGTTATGCTGGTCTTCAGTGTAAGGACTTCTTGACCCTCAAATACCTTTTCTCTAGAGTGAGTCACAAGTCCAGCAGCCCATGCTTTGAAAGTCGCCTCTTCCCTGCATGTCACTCTCTCTGGTCATCAGCTCTGAGTGGCTTCTATATACTCCCTCCACATTGCCATGGGCTCTGGGTTCCAGTTCCATGTAGGAGGCAGTGACAATGCCAAGTTTCTGGTTCTGTTTTTTTTTTTTTAAAGATTTATTTTTATTTACTTATGCATATAAGACTTGGGTTGTAGGCCAGAGGTGTGGGGTGTGGATGGGGGTTAAAGGGGTCACCAGAGACAGAAGGGGAGCAGCAGGTGAGACAGGAAAGGTCTGCTGTGCCATGTGGGTCAGCTGTCTGGCCAGGGATTGAACTCATGCCACAGTAGTCGGTGGTAGCTTTATAGTGACGAGACTTTGACCTCTGTGCCACCAGGGAGGCCTGTTTCTGTTTTTTCTTATAGTTGTGTGGACATCTCCAAGGCGAGGATAAAAGCTCATTTTACCACCACCTGTTTGCTTTTATAAGCTATGGTAATCTTAAAAAAATCCACTAAGTCCTCCATGTTTATGACTAAAAATAAAGAAAATACAGACTTGTGTCTAATTCCCTATGGAAGAAGAGTGTGTGACCGCTGCCAACTGGCTCCCGAGTTTGGGGAAGCCTTCCAAAAATGTTTTATGCATATGCAATAATGTGTGTGGGTTTCTTTTTTCCTTCTTTTATTGAACACTGATTAAAGTGCTCAATGCACGGGATCATACTATGCATTGTGTTTTGTTCCTGTCTTTTCCACTGTTAAGTAACATTAACTTGATGTGTTCCCTCTTGCATGGCACTGAGACCTTGATTCCTAAGGACTCAAGAGCTACTACAGACAAGCCCTGGCTTGGGTAGAGCAGTGGGTGCAAGAAGAACTCGGATTCAAACTACTTTGATTCAGACCAGAGTCTGCCCCTCAAAAATGTGAATCTTCTAGTGCTCTCTCCATGGACAGCCTCTTACTCCACTTGTGGATAGCTCTTTCTCACTCATGGCAGCTCTGTATGACCTCCCAGAGATAATTGTCTAAAAACTAGGGAGGTCTATTCTAGAGGGAAACTTGGAAATTTGTGATTTTGATAACCATATTTTTGAGGCAAGACTGGATAAAGTGTAGGGAAAATCAGAGTCTCTGGAACCCTCTATATGGTGAGGGTGTGCAGGAGCCCTGGTGTATTTTTATAGGAGAATTGCATCTTTATGGCAAGAACAGTTCTGAGTGTCAGATATTTAATAACCTTAAAGTTTGGGTAATGGAATCAAAATAAACACATACCCGTATATATATATTTTTATTTCCTGTGTTTTTCAATCTGAATAAATAAAACTTTTTTTCTTGAAGTGTGCTGCCATGTAAGAAAGTAGTAGAGATTGTTTTCAAAATTTGTTTAGTGGGAAGTAGTTTGTCTCACTCTTGTTTTGGTCTGGAAATTGATTCAACATTTATTTGTACAACTCCTTGTATCTGGAGTTGACTATGCCCACGAAAGGAAATATGTGGTGAGCTCTTACAAAACTGGATGGGGACAGGCATGCGAAAGGCAACCCTGATACCTTATTTTAGAAAGCACCCACACTGTGCTGGTTTGTGACGAGTATTTCCCCACCGCCTGCCAGGCACTCACGATGGGTGGGGGTGGTCAGCTCTGGCCGGAGCAGCCCTCCCACTGAGCACTGACCCGACCCTCATCTCAGATGTTCCCTTTGGAGTCTCTCAATCTGGTCTCTCTCGGCAGGGTCGGGAGGCCTTGGAGTGGGTGATTAGCCGGCTCAGCACGGAGTTGGAGGGCCTCCCAGTCTGTGCCTGAGCCCCGGTGACACGGAGACACTGCAGAGGAGCAAGAGGACAGCATCTCCTCCTCCCCCTGCAAGCTCCCCCTACACTTGCTGGTCAGAAGGATCATTAGTGCCCCCTGCGTGCCCACGTGGGGAGGGGCTCTAGAAGGTGCCACACCGTGGTCTGCAGCTTGCCTTTAGTCGGTTTGTGTGTGTGTATGTGTGTGTGTGAGAGAGAAAAGGTATTTTAACAAACCAGTGTGATTCTTTGATATCCTGTCCTCGGAAACCATAATATCAGAATGAAAAAGAAAATTATACTCTATCATCTCTCTGTATTCAAATAAAAGTTGCTTGTTTCCTGTGATCAAAGACCCCGGGTATTCCCTGCAGGGGCTTTCTCTGAAAGAATGCTGCTTTACTTACATGAGGAATATGGGGGAATCAAATAAGGGATCAGAAAAAATAATAAATAAAACCAAAATTAATGGGCAAGTATAAATCAGAGACATTCTGAGGGGAGGGGAAGGGAGAGGGGTCAAAACCCAAGGAAGTGCACAAGGAACTGTGGTTATGGTGGGGGTGGTGAAGTGGTGGTGGGACTACACCTGCGAGGAGAAGTCAAACATGGCACAAAAATGAACAATGATGTAAAATATATATTAATTAATTAAAAAATGCTTCAGAGTTTCCAGCACGGCTTTAATGCTGAAAGCCTGGGGTGGCCCCGGGAGCTGTTGACACCAGAGCTCAGGCCTCAGCCTTCGGATTCTGCTTGTGTACAGCAGAGGAAGAAATCCGGGGCTCAGGGGCAATGGCTTCCCAGGAGGCAGCTGCCATCTCGCCTGCAGGAGACGTCCCACCCTACCCTGACCACAGCAGTTCTGTATGCACTTAATTTACCAGATTTCATTTTAACTTAGATTTCATTTCACTTAGGAGATGGGTTTTGAAGACATGTATATACAGCAAGTAACACGAGACATCCCTATTTCATTTTAGTTTCTGGACAAGTAAAAGGATATATTTTATTTATTTTTTTAAAAAGATTTATTTATTTATACAGAACTGGGGTACAAGCTAAAGGTGACAGGCTTCACCAGAGACAGTGGGGAGCAGAACAGGCAGATAGATGAAATATACTGCTGAGGGGAGCAGCAGGTGGGTCAGATGAGGTCTGCCGCGCCATGTGGGTCACCTCTGGGACCAGAATAGAACTTGCACTGATGTGGCTGCCTGCCGCCAGCTTTCAGTGCTGCATTCGAACCCATTGCGCCACCAGGGAGGGCCCAATTAACTTATTTATGTTTTAAATCAATCAGCTTGGTTTTTCAGAGGAGAAATTAATTATCAGGAGAATCTACTTATTTTGATGATGTAATATTACCAGACTGTTTTATCTTACTTTACTACCAAAAGCAAAGAATTAAATCCAGACTTCTGCTGCTTTTCTTTAATTTTTGGTGTTAATTCCTATTATTGTGGCCTGTGTGTTAGGAATAAAATTTGAATACACTCGTGACTATGTCAATTCTTCAAATAAACCAGAAGTTCCTGGTTAAGAAGAACCTAGAATTTTGTCTTGAAGCAGGGCTTTCTTCAGCTGTAAGCCCATCAGACCATGTGTGGGATGGGGTGCCTGCTTCCAGGTTGGCTGGCCACTGCCATACTTGTGGAAGCAGTGGCAAGAGTTGTCAGACTCAGGCTTCCCTTCTTGTAGGAAAAGTGATGCTACCAAATATCCTTCATTAGAATCAAGTCTGACTGATTCAGTGGTGGTTTGAATTTTTTTAAGATTTTTTTTTATTTATGCATACAGAACTGGGGTAGAGGCCAGAGGTGCAGGGACAATGAGAGGATTCGCCAGAGACAGAGTGGGGAGCAGAACAGGCATATCTACGAAGTACACTGCTGAGGGGAGCAGCGGGCAGGTCAGGAGAGGTCTGCCATGCCATATGAGT